TGTGTACCATGAAGCCTATGCAGTTTTGTTCTTAGCGATATTTTTTTAAATAACAAAAAAGTAGAACCACCCAAGAATCCATAAACAAAAAATAGATGGGCAAATAGTAGTGCCGTTATCTTAACTCTGCCACTTAGCAACTTTTATTTGGGGCAAGTTACTTAATCCCTTTGAGATTTATTTTCTTCATATGGAGTAGGGAGATAATAATACTAACCACCGCAAAGGATTATTGTGGGGATTGAATAAGTTAACCCATGTAAAGTTCCTGGGAGAATGTCTGATTGCATGATATATTTTAGCTGTCATTGCTATACAGAGGTGAAAATGAGCTATTTCTTATACGTGTCAATATGAATGGATTTCACTGAGAGAAAATGAGCAAGTCTCAGAATATCTCACATAGCATGATATTACTGTAAGTCACATAAAGCTCAAAAACATCTGTAGTGAAATATTGTTTCGGGAGAATACTTATGTGGTAAAACTGTAAAGAAGATTAAGAAAATGAAAAAAACGATTTCAAGGTAGTATTTACCTGCTGGGAATTCAAGTAGTAAAGGTGGAGAATGTTAGTATGGAGAAACACAGAAGAGTTATTATTTGTTTTGGTTATATTCACTTTTAAGTTGGATGACAAGTGCATGCATTTATTTATTATTTTTATATTATACATATAGTCATATAATTATACATATTTATACATGGTCATATATAATTATATATTTATACATAGTCATGTATATATATAAAAATTTTTTATATATACAATATACATTTTATTGATGTACTTCTATTTTATATTATATATAAAATAGTTTGTTAGAAAACCCATGAGTCCTCTGGTTCTGCTCCAACTCCCCAGAACTATAATAATAGTTTGGTGTGCATCTTTTCTGGTATTTTCAAAAACTATATATATAATCTATCCATTCTTCTATCAATTAAACAAGTGGGATTATGCATACTGACTCTTGTATATCTAGGTTTTCATTCGACAATATCTTGAGTACTGCAAATATTTTAATAGCTGCATATAATTCTTTATATATCATAATTAGTTAACCAGTTCCCTGCTGATAGAGCCATACAATATCTTCTTACTTGTTTTCTTTTTTGTTTTTGTTAAAATTAGTGCTGCTGTGATTCTGTGTGTGTATGTCTATATGTACAATTTCTCAAAGTAGAATTGCTGGGTCAAAAGGTATAGATTTTTTTCCCACTGGCATTGTCAAATTGCATTCTCACCAGCAATACTAAAAAAGTATTTTCTCCACACCCTTAACAGCATTGAATATTTTTACCTATTTTTTACATCTTTCCTAGTTAGTATATAATAATAGTATTTTATTTGTATATCTTTAATTGAATGGTGTTCTGCATGTTTTCTTATATCTTTTGCTCATTTCTTAGGAAATAAAATTGAACTTTATCTTAAGTCTGTGTGTTTCCAGAGAAGAGATGGTGGACTATATAAATTATGCATGTTATGAAAGGGTTCCTCAGGCAATACTGATTCTCTTTCCTGTCTTCTCCAGTGTGTGTCCAGTCTCCCAACAAAACTTTGGTCATCGGAAATGTTATATGGATTTTTAATAGAAAAATCAACAGATTTGCTTGAAGAGTAATAGGACAAAGGCTGGAAACAAAAGAGTATCAGTTAGAAACCTACTGAAGTGTAAGACAGGCAAAAAAAAGATGCTTGCATTAAGACAGTAAATAGTAGATGTTGAGAAGAGAAAATGCATTTGAAAGGTACTCAGAAAATTAGCTTGTTTAGAAAATTGTTTCATTGACATTCAGAGACATTCTACATTAATCCAGAGGGGTTTGTGTAAGGGTGTGGTATGTCTCAGTTCATTATTTCAGATGAAGAAGGAAAAAAATATCGAAGCTAAAAAGTGGCTGATTTATTTATAGAGTATATTTGTATTGTATTTTTAAACATTAGGATTAGTGTGTGGTGGCACATGCTTTTAGTACCATTTTAGTACTTTTTTTTCCCCTTTGGTAGATTCAAGAATTGGTCACAATGTTTGAATGTTTCAAAAGCTTTTGATATATTGTATTAAAATTGATTTTCAGAAATAATTCTGGATTTGTGTGTAGAATTAGCCATGAATGAGAATGCCTGTTTTCTTTACCACCACTCTTTTAAAAAATTTTGTTAATTTGATTTGCATCTAAAATTTTAACTTGCTGAAAGAAGTATAATTAAATAGTAGAAAAATAGTTTTTTCTAGTTTATTATCTCTAAAATGTTAATTTGATTGTCACTACTCATTAATAACATGTGCCTAATAGTAGATTTATACTCTGCATTTTCAGTGTTCTGTTTTATATTCTGTTTACCATATCAATACCTGAACAATGCTTTAGTTATTATATTAACTGAGACCCATTTAGGTATATAGTTATAAATTCATTATGTAATATGACCTATTCCTTGTTAATAGATTAATTCCAACTATTTTGGTAAACATTTTAAAATCATTTGTCACCCAAACATTCCACTTTTATTTAATAATGAAACAACACACACTTTGGATATTTTTCTTTAATAAACATATGTATTCATTTTTATTCAAAGTAAAATGTGTTAGTGCTTATAGAATATATGTTTTTAAAAAGAAACCCCAAGTCTGTATGGTGTAACACTAGGTTTGTTTAGATACAGGTTTTTTTTAAAAAGTCAACTTTATTTTAATTGATAATTTTTAAATGACTTCTCAATAATTCAGCAAGAGACAACCTAATTCAAAATAATTATCACCACTAAAAGCATAGTTACAGTTATAGGTTTTGTTCTCTTGAGTATCCCAACTAACCTTGAGATTGTTAATACAGATATTATACCCAATTTATAATCTTTGGCTAGACTTGGTGGCTCAGCCTGTAATTCCAACACTTTGGGAGGCTGAGGCAAGTAGATTGTTGAGCCCACAGGTTCGAGACCAGCCCGGGCAACTTGGCGAGGCCTCATCTCTGCAAAAATCACAAAAATTAGCCAGGCATGGTATCGCGTGCCTGTTACTTGAAGGCTGAAGCTGAAGGATCGCCAGAGCCCAGCAGGTCGACGCTGGGGTGGCTGTGAGTGTGCCACTGCACTCCAACCTGGACAACAGAGTGAGACTCCAACACAAAAAAAAAAGACTAATAATAATATAATTTTTTTAAATTGTGATTCAGAGAAATTAACTGCTTATATTTCATTCCATAATTAGATGAGACAAAATTCTAACCTAAGCCCTTTTTCCAACCTTCCCCCCACTCCAGTGTTTTCTTCTATTCAGTTTGCTTATGATTTCTGACAATTACTTGAGCCATTTATTTTCAAAAATTTTTGGAACAGATAAATATATTTACTGAATTTTTTTACTCTTAATTTTGATTATGTATTTTGTAAGAACGTTTGCTGGATATCATTATTTAGCCAACTCTTTTCCAATATTTTAGTATTAACTGTCACAACACATTGGGACAACTGTTAAGAAAATTAAGTAAAAATAGCAATTAACTGGTTTTGACAGTTTAAGTGACTGAAGATTTACAAATATACTTTTTTAAGTTTAATTTCCCATTCCTTGATACAATAACTTGAGCATTTTTACTTATCTCACTAGATCCTTATGACAATCCAGAGTCATAAAACATCATAAATAGGATTATTTTGAAAATGAGGAAACTGAGTGCCAAATAAATTAAATGACATAAAGCTATTTTGTTCTGGAGCAAGAACCCAGACTCCATTTATAAATTGAAGATATCTTAGTAATTTTATAAATTTCACTGGTTAATTTTAGAAGTGACGTGAAGAAAATGTTTAAGATCTTTTTTTATTTTTAAAAAAACTTATAAAGGTTTGGATTTGTTTTTTTTTTTTGAATTGGAGTCTTACTCCTTTGCCCAGGCTGGGGTGCAGTGGCACGCACACTCACGGCCATCCCAGCGTCGACATTCTGGGCTCCAGCGATCCTTCCACCTCAGCCTTCCGAGTATCTGGAACTACAGACGTGCGCTACCACGCCCAGCTATTTTTTGTTTTATTGTAGAGATGAGGTCTCGCCAAGTTGCCTGGGCTTGTCTCGAATCTGTGGGCTTAGGCAGTCCACTCACCTCAACCTCCTAAAGTGCTGGGATTACAGGCTGAGCCACCGAGCCCAGCCAAGGTTTGAACTCTTAAAATTATTTCCCCTATAGTGATTACCCTGAATTATTTTAGACTAAGTCAGTGATAATTTTTCTGCCATTTTTACTTAAATGGCAATGTTTATTCTCAGATAACTCGGAAAGTAATAGCAAATAATTATCTTATTTCTTAAAAAAACAAAGTGAAACAAAACCCTTTCAGGACTTTCTGCTTTAGAGTGTGCTATATTTTACTTAACATTTGTTTCATAGAAATTATTATTTATGATATTTTAAAAGCATGTCTTTAGTAGCTATCATTGACTGAGCATATCCCCCTGTCTATGGCTTTTATGCATGGTTTAAATTCTTCTGAATAATGAGCAAATTCAGGCTATTTTATTCATTCATTTAAGGTCATGGTCTACTGTTGTCTTCCTTCTTTAGATCCACTGTATCAACAACATGGTTCTTGGTACATACTATTTTTTTTTTAATTGCAAAATAAGACATATTGTTTTGTATTTTCTCTCCAATAATTTCTTCATTTTCTGTGTATATCTATCACTTTTTTTTAGTAAAAAGGCATTATTATAATTAGATATATCTTCCATGTGGCACGGTTGGCTGTTCAAATCTTCCTAAGTTATTTTCAATAAGAAAGCCCATTTTGCTCATAAAGATGATTTTTTTTAAAAAATTCATATTTTATTTTGAAATAGCATTCTAATCATGTACATTTGAGTTTTTGAGAATTACCATTCGTGGTGATGGTATATACTTAACTGATTTCGTAAATATTTGTTAGAATAAAAGTATCTTATTTTGTTTTTGTTTTTATTATGGCAACTAATGAGGGTTATTCCCAATAGGCAACTGAAGAGGATACTTCCAGTTATCTAGTGAAGGATCACCTTTTCCAGCAAGAGACAGTTGTTACTAGTGAGCCTTATAGAAGCTCAAATATAAGGCCTTCTCCTTTTGAAGATCTAAGTGCCAGAAGAGTCTACATGCAAAGCCAAGCCAATCAGGTGGGAAGATAAATATTCTTTCAGCATATTACTCATATGTGTAAAAAATGGATGATACGTTAGGCAAGGACATTAAGACCATTTGCCCTTTACCAGATCCAATAAGCAAATAAAAGGCAAGAAAACTAGGGGAATAGGATTTATAATGAATCAAATTCAGAGTGAGACAACAAACATAGATTATAAAGGCATATATATGTGTCTTGTAATTGACCCTAAAATTTACTTTAAGGTTTTTGGTGGCAAAGGTGATGACAAGGGGAAAAGTGTTAGTTACATTTTCATTATCAGAAGGAAAAAGCATTACAGGCTTCTGGGAAGCCAAAGTGTCTCTAGCCTCACTCTACAAGAAACTTCAGATCAGAAATATAAAGGAAAATGTCCTCAGCAGACATATCTGTGGCAAATTTTGTAAGGTTTCTTTTTATAACTTAACCTCAAAACTGAAAATTATACTCCAAAATCACCTTATTGAAAGCATTTCCATTGGGCATTACATACACAACCTTCTAATGGTTCTAGCCAGAATAATGTAAAAAATGAAAGTGTGGCTATAGGATATAACTCTAGTTTGTGCCATTTACAGCTATTGGAAGACCATTCTTGATTCTAATTTGCTTAGAGATGTGAACAAATGTTTTTGTTGTTGTTAAATAAGCATCTGTAACTGTTACTTCTTGTGAGCTCATGAAGTTTAAACCATATTGAGAACTGTCTGAAAACTCAAAGATGTATTTATTAGTGTCCATTGGTATAGTGGCTATGCCTAAAGGCTGCCCGGTCATGCTTGTAATCCTAGCACTTGGAAGACCAAAGTGGGAGGATTGCTTGAGACCAAGCTGGACCACATAGCAGGACCATGTGTCTGCAAAAATTAGCTGGGCGTGGTGGCATGTGCCTGTAGACTCAGCTGTTCAGGAGGCTGAAATGGGAGGATTGTCTGAGCCCAGGAGGTTGAGGCTGCGGTGAGCTGTGATTGTGCCACGGCACTTCAGCCTGGGCAATAGAGTGAGACTCCAACTCAAAAAAAAAAAAAGAAAGGAAATCTTACAAATAACCACCAAATCATGTATATATCCTTTTATGCAACATTTCAAAAGCTTTATTTCTTTTGCTTTTACATTGTGTAAAATGTTAAAAGTGGTATGAGGTTTAGTAGATCAAAGTTTCTTTTTCTTATCTGGGTAGCCAGTTGATTATCACCATTTAGTGATAAGTTCTTTCCCACACTGCTACATTGCATTGTCAGCTTTGTCATGTGACTATTTATGTTTGAATCTACTTCTGATTTCTGTTCTGTTTCCTTGGCCTATTTGTCTGTTTTTCACCAGTATCACAGTTTTAATTACTGTTGCTTTATATTAACTTTTGGTCTGGGAGTTATTGTCCAACTTTGCCCTGTAAGATTTTCTTTGTTATTCTTGACCTATATAAATTTTAGAGTCAGTTTATCAGTTCCCAAAAACCTCCTTCCTAATCAAAATTGTATTACCTTCATAAATTAAGTTGTTAGAAATCAACATCTTTACAATGTAGAATCTTCTAATTCATGAAATGGTATATACTTCCATTTATTTACTTGTTCTTACATTTTTCTCAATTGTGTTTTGAAGTTTTCTGTATAGAAGTCACATATTTTTTAGATTTACTCTTACATATTGGATTTTTTTGTTATTGTAAGTACATTTTGCATATCGACTTTGTACCCAAAGACACTGTTTAATTAACTTATTAACACTGTACTTCAATCTGTAGATTCATCAAGTGTTGATTTCTTGTCTTGTTGTACTGGCTAGTATATGGGGGCATTGCAGGCATTCTTATTTTGCCCCTGATCTCATGGAAAGCTTTCAGTATTATTATGTATGAGTTTTAACATGTTTTTGTAGATGGTTAGGATGTCTTTCAGTTCCTACATAACTAAGTTTTTATCATCTACTTTTTCTGCAGTAATTGAGACAATTCTGTTGTTTTCCTTCTTTATTCTGTTTGGAAAATTGTAGTAATTGGTTTGCAGCCTTGCAATCTTGGATTAAAACTATCTTGGTTGCCACATGATATTCATTATACACACACATACATAAAGACATATGAGGTGGGACCCCAAAAAACCAGAATTATCTTTTTTCATTCTTTTTTTTTTTTTTTGGAGGATAGGCCCCTTGTAGTATAGGCTTCCTCTGCTAGTTAAGTGTTCTAGGAACCCGATAGCATCAGTGTACCAACTAACATTGTTGTAAGAGGCTTTGTTCAACTTCAGTGAATTTTTTTTGGAAACTCTTTCAACGCAATTGCCTGTTTCATGATGGATGATTTATGATACACTTGCCCACATTGTGCTGAGTGGTCAGCAGTTTTTGATAAAAAACGGCACGACCCCCAGATACCACCCTCCCTGACCTGATCTCTCCCCGAACAACTTTTTTTTTAAATTTCCTCACTTGCAAAAAGTTCTCAAAAAAAGACATTTGCCAATGTGGAAGAGGTGAAACAAAAAATGGCAGAAACACTAAGGCATCAAAATCGATGAGTTCAAAAACTGTTTTGACCAAGTAGAAAAAGCATCTTGATAGCTGTATTGCATCAAACAGAGGATACTTTGAAGGTGACAAGTTTGAACATGTAAGAATAAATACACAATTTTTAATAAATTGTTCCAGGTCCCCCCTCTTATATGCGCACATGAAATGGGTTGGATTTTTATCTAGGATTTTTATGTCTATATTTATAAAGGAGATTGGCATATATTTTTCCTTTCTTACATTTTGGTCGGGTATTGCTATCAAGGTATGCTATCTTTATAAAATAAGCTGAGCAGCATTACTTTTTGTGTGTGTGGAAGAGTTTAAGATGTTTTGTTACTTCTTTCTTTAAATGTTTTGTAGAATTCCCTGGCGAAGCCATCTGGGCTTGGATTTTTCTTTGTGAGATGGTTTTAAATTGCACATTGAATTTCTTTAACAGATACAATGCTATTCAGGTTTTCTAATTCTTTTTGTTTCAGCTATGACAAGTTGTGTTTTGCAATAACTTTGTTCATTTCATGAAAATTCTCCAATTTTTTGGCATAAATATGTCCCATTTTTCATAGTTGGTACTAAAAATATGTGCCTTTTCCCCCTGTATAGATGATTCTTGCTTAGGGGGGTCTATCAATTTTATTAGTTCATACAAAGATTTAACTTCTGAATTTTTAATTTTTGTTTGTTTTCTATTTCATTGATTTCTACTCCTAACTTCTGTTTTCCTACATTCTTAAATTTTAGTTTTGCTATTCTCTTCTTTAACTTCTTGTGAAAGCTTCATTCCTTGATTTTTTTTTTCATTCTTGTTTTTTCTTCTTCTAACCTATGTATTTAAGGCTACAAATTTCCACTTAAGCCCTGCTCTAAATATATTTCACAGGATTTTTTATTGTTTATCCTTTTTTTTTTTAAAGTCAGACAGGATCTCACTCTGTCACCTGGGCTGGAGTACACAGGCACAGTCATAGCTCACTGCAGCCTCAAATTCCTAGGCTTGAGCTATCCTGCTGCCTCAGCCTCCTGGACTACAGGGTGCATGACACCACACTTGAATAATTTAAAAATTTTTTGTAGAGATGGGGTCTTCCTGGGTTGCCTAGGCTGGTCTAGCACTACTGGGCTCAAGCCCTTCTCATCCCTTTTCCTCCTAAAATGCTAGGATTACAGGCATGAGCCACAGTACCTAACCTGTTTATTCATTTTTAATGGAAAATTTTAAACATTACTAAACATAGAATGAATAGTGGAGTAAACTGCCATATACTTCCTTGCTTTCAACACCTATCATTGGTGAAATGATATATTGACATATTTTTATTATTCAGAAATGGTTTGTTTCATTTCTAAACTGTTTTTAAAAGTTTTCTCTTTATTATTACAAATATGCAAAGCATAATTGACTCTGATTGGTTGATGACCTAGCATATATAGGTTGGTGTTCTGTGTACATATGAAAAGAATGTATAGTTTTAGTTGTTGGGTATAACATTCATTTTTGCTGGAATGATCCTTTTGTTATTATGACATACCCTTCTTTATCTCTAGTAATATTTATTGCCCAAAAATCTACTTTTTTGATGTTTGACTACAATGGTTTTATTCTGGCTAACATTTGCACCATAGGTATTTTTCTATCCTTTTCCTTCCAACATTTCTGTTTCTTTTATTTAAGATGTCTCTTTTAATCCATATATAGTTGAGTTTTGTTCTTGTCCCCCCCTTCCCTGGGGTCTTTGTCATTTAATTGAAATATTTTGTCCATTTACTTTTACCACAATTATTGATATAAATCTACCACCGTTTTTTAATTTATCCCATTTGTTCTGTTTCCTTATTTACTTAATTTTTCCCCCTTTAATCAAGTAATTGGTAATATAGTTGTTTAATATTTTTAGTGATTATCCTAGAGATTATAAATCCATCTTGACTCTTTAGAATCTACCCTGAATTAATATATATATTTTTACCACTTCTGGGATAATGGACATATTACAATGTCTTAACTCCGCTTACCTCTGTTTTACCTTGTATGTGATTATCATTGCAAATTTTAATTTTCTCTATATGAAATTTAAAACCTTTAAAATTTTTTAAAAATTTTAAGCAGTAAATATTCATTTAGATTTATCTACCTTTTAATGTATTTTTATGTTCTTCAGTGCCTTGTTTATTGCTGTATTTCCATGCTGTTGAGGAATCTCAGCTTTTTATCTGAAAAAAATATTTTATTTTCTTTATTTTTGAAGGATATTTTGCTTATCATTGAACTCTAAGTTATAATTTATTTTCTTTCATCAAGGTAAAACATGTAATATTATTTTCTTCTAGTTTTCATCATTTCTATTAAGAAGTATTATCTTTATTATTGGTTTTCAGATGTTTATTATATTATGCCTAAGTATTAGGTTATGTGTTTTGTTTGTGTGAAGAGGTCTCCTTGAATCTGTGACTTGATGCCTTTGGAGAGAGTTAGAA